CAATAGGAATGTCTTTAGAATAAAATGTGCGTACTTACATTTCTCTTAAATTTATTTATTGTATGCCATTTTTAAATTAGATACTATGGCAGTATATACAATACCCGTTTGAGCGGTCACAAGTTTCAGAAGTCATTCACGGCCAGGAAAACATGTCTTAGATGTTCTGCCATCTATTCATAGAAATTATGGCGCGGTGCAAAATGAGTTCTCAGAAAGTTGTAAACCCGTGCGTGCGACTAAAACAACTTCCACTTGATTTGCTTTTTAATATCAGAGTTATTTTTCTATTTCCAATTTTATTGGTTCGTTATATTGTGTATCGCAATTGAACGCATCAAACCACAGCAGGTGTCTCGCGATGTTGGTTTGATATATATATATATATATGTTTTTCGTCTTCTAACCCCTAAACCAGTGAAAACAGTTATAACAGTGTGTTACGCATACTTACATTTAATACGATTCCAACCCTATAAAGAGCGCCTTAAATCGACCGTCGTGTAAGTCGTTATGGCGCCTACATTTATAAGTTCAGTGTGAGTATAATATTCTGTGGCGAATTTAATGCTCGACACACGACTTGGCGATCTAAATCGAACACCAAGAGAGGAGAGGCATTGATTGACTCGTCATCAGGATACTTTCAATCAGCGACGGAGGAAATAATACCCCTACTCTCAAAACTAGAGGCCGCCAATCCATTGTGGATTTAAGCTTCGCTTCTCCAAAACTGGCGGCACTGATGAGGATAACGCACTGGAGAGGATAACGCACTGGAGAGTTGGCGCCAAACGGTCTCTGATAGCAGGTACCTAGAGGTTATCTGAAACTGAGACATGAGCGTCACGCCGTCGTCAGAAACTAAAATATTATTAACAGCGGGATATAGTTAAATGAAAGGAAAACGAATAGTGAAGTAAAAATTTAAAAAAAAAACGAAAGGATTACTTTTTAAAGTTCAATGTTTTTTTTCGTTTTTAATTGTATATATATGTATAGTTTATCGACAGTCGAATCCAACATGATTTCTCGTCTCAATAAAATTAATAAAATCTTAAAATGTACAAAGTTTAAGCCAGGAAAAATAATTAAACGAATATAATGATAATAATGATAATAATTATAATTATAATATTATACTATGTATTTATAAATATTTATAATACACATATGTATACAGATATAATAATATATATTGTAATATTTTAGATGTAAAACAATAATAATAATAATAATAATAATAATAATAATATACACATCGTCATCGTAACAATAACATGACAGACGTAATATTATATTATTTCGGAACGAATAACAAATAGATGTTATTATGTATTAATATTATGTATGATACGACGCATGCGCCTAAGGTCGCAAGCTTCACATCGTGTTATAATAATAATATTATTATAATTTGTTATTATATAATAATGTAAGTATATAAATGCGTTATACAGCATATACAATATAACGTATATATAAATTATATAAATATAATATGCGATATAGGTATGTTAAAACATTTTTTTTCCCTTAAAATACTAATAATACTCATATATTTTGTACGAATTATAAAGGTTAAAAACGTAGGAGGAGAAAAATCAACGAAACAAATCAAAACACCACGGGCTGCAAGAGAATCCTGTTCGAGATCTTTGGCCCGACGACCACAACAAGTAACGTTTTTTCGTATTTTTCCTCATCGCACCATAATATTATTATCATTATCGTTCCTATCGTAAAATCATCATCTCCCAACGATGGCGTGCGCGAAAAATTCTGGACGAGACGCATTATACGTAGGTATGATACTATTATTATAAAATGTAAAACGATTGGCGCCGCGGGTCATTGCGTCGACTAGAGAACGATATGATAGTAATATTATGATTTAATGTTATGATATCACGCGATAAAAAATGCAATAGAAATTTTTCTAAGAAAATTCGATAGAAATGTAAATAATAAAAGTTGTGCGACGATGACTATATTCGAAATKATTTAATTTTTAAACACGACTTATCTAACAGTAGCAGTTTTTTATAGGTACACCAAAGATCGCTGTCGTGATGGCAGGATTTGCGGTTGATGGAGATAGGTTTTTGAAAGTAGTATGCAGGGCAAAATATAACGGGTAGAATTTGGTTTGGGGACAGTATTTTAAGTATTTACGTTATTTTACTACGTAATACAATAATATTATGATAATATTAATGATGATTATTAACATTAAGAAAGACTTATATAATTTTTTTTTCTTTAAATGAAACAAAACATTTTCGCAATAATTAACTAAATGGTATTTATCTTTCTAAGCATTAGCCTAATAATAAAAATGATGATAATAATAATAATAATAATAATAATAATAATAATATTATAGCAGTAAAACACACAATTATAGTCTAATAACAATTATAACGAAAAAAAAAAAATTAAACAAAAAATAAAAACACAATGGTTCCATACTTAAATATACGCAACAAATATCTGGCTCTAAGGTGTAAGGTGCGGTCTTTCTACAGGCGATAAAGAATAATAAAATAATCATAAAAATAATAATCATAATCATAGTACCTATAATGGTAGATTATTTTTTTTTTTTTATTTATAAATTTAACAATAATAATGATAATAATTTTCAAATATTATAATTTTATGTAAATACCAACACATGATGTATTTTAATAATTATTATATCATATTAAACATATGTGGTACGAACAAAAACGAAATACAATTAATAAATAAATAAACAAAAAACTTAAGTTTAAAAAAAAAAATGAAACAATAAATTATCATAACAGAATATTTTGCAAATTATCAAATAAATAAACATTTTGTAAATATAAAATATAACATCGAGAACAAATAATAATTAAGCAATTATAAAAACGAAAACAAAAACAATAACGCCACATTTTTTCGTCATTTTTGTATAGGTATGTATATATATATTTTTTTAATTTACTGGCCCCGTTTCTKCTCTTTGCGCTACGAAACATGTATACAGTTTATTAATTATTATATTATTAAAATGTAAAATGCTTATATTATTTTAATTAATAAATTTTAACTTTTTTTTTTACTATTTTGTTATTGTTATTTCCGTTTTATTTTTCAATAGAACGCCGATCACGTATCGTTTTTATAACATGTTATTAAGTATTATTACTCGAAAATCGAGATTTCATAATATAAATTATTGTACATAAATTCACTGCGACGGTAATTTTGTTCGCCATAATATCCTTATTAATAATATTATTATTATTTCGTCTGGCAGTGGCTCGCCCGCGTGCGAGCAGGGACAGTCGATCGGAGCCGCGCGGAGATTTTTGATTAAGGTTAATATACTTTTTAGTAAAGAGGAAGATGGCGGAAGGAAGTGATGAAATCGTCACCCTGACGTTGTATTAAATCGTATATATATATATATATATATTTTTTTTTATGTATAAATAATTATAATTATAATAATATATTATGATAAGTTTTTTCTTTTATTAAATTAAAACGAACAAATTTCAATATAGTAATAGAATAATATAATATRCAAGAATAAAATTGATTATTATTAAATAATCACATCATAATAATAAATAATATTATGTAAGTATTATTATTGGTCGATGAAACGCGATAATCACAAAATTATGGAAATGCAATTATGTTTGAAACGGCGTAAATACAATGTTATAATTAATTATCATGTAATAGTTTAAAATATTTATTTATGTGGTTTGGAGTGACTAAAAACCTAAGAAACGTCGCACTAGGCGGCAAGAGCACGACCGTTATCATCATAATAAATGAACGATATACACATTATTATTATTATTAAATAAATAGTCCTATAACTATAATACCTAAAGAAGGAAAAATATTGACTATCGGATCTAGTAAATCAGTTCTATAAATGTCTCATTGGATCAAAACACATTCATCTAATATTTAATATAATCATTATAATATTTTAAAAACGATAGTAATAAACTTATGAATAATAATTTTTTTCATGCTAAATTTTCATAATAAATTGTTTAATTTTATTTACAAAGACTACTATAATTATTTTAATAATTATCATTTAGGCAATAATATAATATTATGCTATTTACAAAAATGTTTTTTTTTTTTTTTTGGTTTCCTCACAACTCAAAACTCTTTTAAGACCACAGATCTGCGATTATACATAAAAAAATAATAATGTTATTAAATTAAAATTTCGTATCCGTCACATGCCGGTCGCCGTCGATTATCATGCATATTATATTATGCTCCCTCTGCGGAGGGCTTACATGGTCTTGTACGTGACATAACGAATGTGTGCGCCGACGAACGGTCACTTATATTTCATAGTATTAACTTGAAATTTAAAAAAAAACATCGTGACGATAAACGTAATTTATAATTTTATTTTTTTCTAACAAATTACAATCAGGCGCGGCCAGTGAATGCGAACGCCTGGGATTTTTAACGATTTTGATCATTAGGCTCCGGAGTCATTATACACATTATTATATTTACACAATGATTTTATACATTTATCATACGCGATAAGGGCTGTTAATATTATATTATAATATATTACTTTAACAGTTTAATATTAATAATAATAATATAATGATGATATTGATAAGAAACTGAAAACGCGTCATAATATTATTACTTTAACGGTATTATAATAATGGAATTATTAATATGATCGTCCCAGACGATAACAATATTATTTTATGTTCATGAGGTTATTTTAAATTTAAAAAAAAAATTATATCTTAATCGTCATAATTTTTTTTTTCATTTTTTTTTCTATCAATTTTCATAATTATATATTTAAAAATTATTTTAATGCATTTATTATAGTTTTGGTATTGAAATAATTATTTTATGTACACACGTGTATTTTACGTATATTGAATACAATTGTACATATATATATATATATATATGCACAAATGCACGTGTACTACTGGTAACAAAATATTATGTATAAACGTAAAATATATAAATAATTTAATAATAATAATAATAATAATAATAAATTACAATAATAATTAAATAAATACCACCGTTTTTCCGGAAACTTTATCTATGCGCGTCCGTTTGTCTGTGCTTGTGTATGAATATGTGTGTGTGTGAGAGAGAGGGGTATTTAGTTTTAACGAGTTCTAACATAATATCGTCAGAGGGTTGTTGTAGCGGAGGTAGCGGTTAGGATGGTAAAACGGTAGTGTGTGTGTGTGTGTGTGTGTGTGTGTTTTGCGCGTTTTTTTCTGTTCGTGTGTGGATGTGGGTGTGTGTTCGTGCGTCGTGTGCTTGCGTTTAAGTGAAGTGCCGTTTCTTGTGCAGCGCCAAATGGTCGGACCTGGAGAAACATCGCTCGCAATGGCGACACTTGAATGGTTTGGCGCCAGTGTGCTTGCGGTAATGGCGGGTCAGCTCGTCCGACCGGGCAAAGCTCCAGCCGCAGCCGATCCACTCGCATTTGTATGGCTTCTCGCCTGCAACGAATGAAACGGAAATAAATAATAATATGGAGAATTTTTATAATTATTATTTTCTTAAACACTATATTATTATGTTATAAGAAATGATGCACTAATGTAAGTAGTAATCACAAATGCACTGCGTGATAATATCATGTGTATATTATTATCATTAATCGTTTAAAAATTATTTTGCATTATTTTGGACAATATAATGGYGAGAACAGTGAATGACGACGATCATAAGTTATTATATTATAATATATTGAAAACAATTTACGTACAAAATGTATAATTCTAATAATAATKCCAATTAAGGACAAATATAGAGTAAACATAAGAGCACCTTATTTAATAAAAGTTTRCTTAAGGGTAATTAGGTAGGTAATGTAAAATAATAGGTAATTGATGTAAATTATTTAACATAATTAATACAGCTATTTAAAGTGTTAATAATAAAGACTCGTGATAAAATTCGCAGCTAGAGGAGATATTATAGAGTACAAACCAAATTTAAAATAAAGTTCCTTTACTGACAGAAACTCATACCAATTTGTACAATAAGCTAAATAATTAAGTGGCAAAATTGTATATTGTTCGAATGGCTTAAATACCGAGTTGAGATGGGTTCCATAAAATATTGATCCATATCCCGCAATCAAACGGAATAATGAACAAAATAATATTATAATGTTATAGACATTGAATATCCTACTAATAACTACAATAAACGTTATTATTAGTCTAACAGTATATATTATTTTCAATAAAATTATCTTATAATAACTTACAAAATAAATAAGGTATTTAAAATAATTGGAATTCTCCCCGAGTAATAAACTCGAGAAATTCATTAACCAGACAATCATCATAATGTATATTAGCTGTTGAATAACTTTCCTTTGTTTAATATGAATAAGACATATATTTTTATGTTAATACACGATAATACCTATTATAATTAATTGTGGTGTGACAAATATCAAAGTATAATATTATAATTTAAAAAAATAAGTCGATGGGGTTATAGTATGGAATTATTGCTACTGTAAATATAAAAAATAAAAATTTGCCAACTAGCCCTTCAAAACCGGTAACCCGCGTCAGTAGAACACCTCTATTACCCCTCCCCCCACCAACAACCAAACTACACCAGATCGTGCATGCAGTAAGTCCTCGAGTTTCGGCCATTCCGCATTATATTCTACTATTCCCGTCGAGCGGTCACATTATTTATATCGTTACTTTTAACGAATATCGCAACACTCCGGACGAGGCGGTCGTGGCTATTTCGGTGTACGAAATTTAATGATAATGTACACTAGTGGAGTGCAAGCCCACTCGGAGGTCTCGGCCGGTCGATCAGTGATAATATTTGGACATTATGTATTTTATTAAAGATTATTATTGTATATGTGTTTGGCGAAAATGCTACCGACGCACGGCGAAAACAGAGCAAAAGAAAACAGTACACATAATAATATTGTACGGATTTCAATAATAATCGGCTGTAACAGTATAAAGTACAAACACAACGCAAAACGCACGCAACGACCGCGCCAAATATATATTTATATATAACGACTGGGACACAATAATAATAATGAGAGAGATAGAGAGAGGGCGAAATCGATCGGAATCGCAGACCGCCGTAATGGCGGCTCGTTCACGCGTTCGGCGAGATAATATTATAAATATAAACGCCGAAAAAAAATCAACGAATTCTATGTATATAAATACAAATTGTATACAGCGTGCGTCCCAAACGACTGTTATAATTATATACAAAAGGGTTCGACTGGTTCGAGTGACATTTTTTTTTTCGAGACGGTTTTAAATAATAATAATATTCTTGACGAGTTCCCCGCCGCGGCCGCGTTCTGTGTAACGTTATTATACGCGTGACACCTAAACACAAGGGGGTGGGCGGTGATGAATTAATAAAAAAAATTGACTTGAGTTTGTCAAAATAAGTTACTTTTTGATATAATGAACCACCGAATGAGTTATAATATATTTTTAAATGTTAATGTTAATATGGGAAAAATTTAATGATCTTAAAAAAAATTAGTTCATTCATCTAACCGTGGTCACGTAATATAACGATAGCGCATCCTATTTTTTTTTTTAATATTAACCAACCACTCCGTTTACTAATATGAATTTCTTCCTATTTCTCTTTCACTTAGTAAAGTAAAAAATAATTTCGCTTTATCATTCTCTTGCAGTGCTGTGTGATTTTGCGAACTATAATATTAGGTCTTTTAAAATTTTAACCATAATAGTTTTAAATTTGTATATACACAGCCTTATCTTAGCACATGCCTATTATATATTATTTAATGTAACTGAAAATCCTTTGTCCGTGCATATTTGATCTCGATCGATATTCCCTCCTAACGTAGTCAAGTTTTACCCCGAGGTTAAAGTTTTCAATTGGATTATTATATTATTTACTAGTGACTTTATTAATGATTAAATTAAGTGGCACAGCAGTTAGTTTTAGTCTGACGTAGAGTTTAAAAAATTATTTTTTTGTGACATTAATTTTAAGGCATATTCGATTATACTATCAAACCAACAATGGCGATTGAATAATTAACGCAATACGACCGTCATATAATACAAATTAAATTTTGTAACGATAATAATAAAAACAATCATTATAATTTCGTATTATTACTATAAATATTATTGTTGTTCGCAGCTATATCCTTGTGGGAATTTTGCCGGCAGTGCGAATTTAAGTTTTAATTTGTTTTAATATCAACAACAACCAACGACGACGATAATATTAAACACGTTTAAATGTCCCAAGTTTCCCGGTTGTTCTATTTATCGCATTATATTTTGGTACACTCAAAAAGTTATTACTGTTCATGGTGATTAATAAACGCAATTGAGACATTTTTTTTTTAATTTCTCAACAGGATAACCTAATGACAAAAAATAAACTAATAATTAATTGTATGTAAAATCGTTTTTCAAAAAAGTTATATTTTGGTGAACAACCAAGCGTAGTGAACATAATTCGTGTTTCTATACAACTCCCAAAACACTTAATTATTATGTTATGAATACTGGGTAATTAATTTAATATCACTTTCTTAGTTATAAGTTATAACAGTTGCAATTGTAATTAATAATATGAATTTAAAAAAAAATGTGTCGAATGAAAAACCTTTGTTATGAACTAAAAATTCTCAAGTTTGAATAATTTATAATATTCAAAATGTTTACACGGAATTTTTAAATTAAATTTAGACCTTACACGTTTGAAATATGCGTTCAAAAGTTTTCCCATTATAACTTTTTAGATTTAAACTGTCCGAATAACGCTAGACAACAGATGCCAACGGTCTCCTGCGGAGTCTGATTCTTCGCCACGCAGTCAGAAAATTATGTTTTCAAACAAATTTCGATAATTCTCATTGAATTATTAAATAAAGTATCGCTATTTTACGTTTTTTCCTCATCTACTATTCGTATCGAAACACGCTGTGACGCTAAACGAAAAACGATTGTGTGGATATCACTGCATAATATACGAACTTATCCAGACATGATAATATATAAACTAGTAAATTCGTATTAAAACTTTTAATTAAATTAACAACGAAAATGACTCAGTACGCGATATATTGTAATGCCAAAAAAACATGGTTAAAAAAAAAAAAAAACACTCATGATTTAAAAATGAACTATTACAACTTTATACATTTTTTTCGTGACATAAATAATTCATATGTTTGTTACGTGTATAAAATATTCAGACGTAATTTATCTGTGTATGCATTTGAAATTGTTTAGATTTTTAGCTTACCGAGCTATTGGTTTTTGCGTGTAATGTGTTTTTTTTTTCTGAAAATATATTAATTTTTTTTCAGGGTCAGTAAAAGTACTTTAAAAGTCTTATGAACCCCTCGAATTGAACACAATAATGGCACTTTAGTTTAAAGGGGTAATTTTTAATTTTTTTTTCTGTTGGTTTTAAAAACGCAATCAGAAAAATGTAAAAACCAAACAATGAAATACACGAAACGACCATTTCCCCCAAAATGGATGCGTAAATAAAAAAAATGATATTATTGGAAACCATTGCTTGGTTAAATAATTATATTTGTATTACAGTTTAGACTTTAAAGAATCGACACGGTTTTCGTTTCATATATAATATTAATATTGTATGAATTGAGTAGCAAATGCTATTTAAAAAAACAGTATGTACATTGTACGAGTATGAGAAATCTTGACTTACACACATCGACGGCCGTTGTGTACTATATAAAACTGCGTGTAACGATAAATTATAAATAAATTAATAAATAATGCTTATAACAGTAATATGATAATATTGAAGAAATAAGTAAAATTCGTTGTCAATGAACAATAATCATGCAATTGTCGTCCGAGATAAAAAAAAAAAAACAATACCATGCACGTCTGTAGGTATATAGGTAGTTTATTATTTATTATGTGTAGGTACATTATGTCATTATTATTATTATTATTATTTTACGTACAGTGCACTGTTCCGCCCCGCCACCACATTGATGTCCCCAGTGACCGAGATCAAGAAAAAGAAAAAAAAGGTCGTAAGTCCACGCGCGTATTACACGCACGCGTCCTTTTCGGCAACCCAATAACAACTCCTACCTCCCCCCCCACCAAAAAAAAAAAATCCTCGGGAGAATTGTGCTCGGTCACCCGCCTCCAGTAATTCGAGWCGAACGAATCACGWCTGAAAATCGATACAATATTAGGTTATATTTTGTATATCATTATACGATATTATACGAGTGTGGTACCCGCCGAACTGCTTTCGAAATCTATACGCGACCAACGTGCGATTCCGGAGTCAGTACAATATTCGTAGTCATATAAAATGAAAATAATATACATCAAATAAAACAATAAAAATAATGCTTACGTTCTTATATTATTATTATGACTTGTCGAATGATATTATAATGATGCATCACATATTTTGTTTTTAACTCCCATGGGCCGAGAAC